CTATATGTATCTACGGTTACTGCTAACCACGGTCGAGGTTTTAACAACTGACGGAGCGTGAAGTCTGTTTGCCACACCTCGGAGGCTTTAAGGCCTCTGGGGTTGACTCCACTGGACCACAGTGGTGTTTTCTGACAGTGAGGGCATGTGGCTACTATGTGCTTCGCGTTGGTGACTGAGATCCCACATTGACTGAGATCCTGCATTTCTTCGTTAGCGTTTTAGCTCCGATGTGAAGAGATTCGTGAAGCTGACGGGCATCTCTTAGCGTCCACAACCCTTTTGCTGCGGCGTCTGCTTTATTGTTACCCGTTTGAAAATGGGTACGCTTTAGTACATTTATCCCACACTTCAGGGTGGAGAATATCCACCGGCTGGTCAATGAGCCCAATTTGCAAAAGCCTCGCAACAGCGAGAGTAAAATCTTTGGGTTTACAATCTATACCCCACTGCTTATGTAGCTGCGATACGACCTTCACAAGGGCTTCCATCCTCCTTGTTGGTCCGGGAGCGTCCTCCCCGCCAGGCTGGTCCTGCCGCTCCGGCCGCCGTTTACCCGTGCAGGCGATTTCCCCGATTCCCGGTGAGCCTTTCCCGGGTTTCGGCACCACTCGTTGCCTTCAGAGGCGTAACGACCTTGTTCAGGAACAGCTCAGCGACCCCACCTTATATAGCTTGAGTTTACAACGTCACATCCACCTGCTTACGTCATAAATCAAACACTATTGGCTATTAGGAGAGGGGCCCTATACTTTCCGTACAGCGCGATATCTTCCGGCCGCCAGGCCCTAACTATCCACAAGAACAGGTTAGTTTTGTCTAATGCAAGCGCTAGGTCTCTGCCTTGCTTTGACTTGTAACCGCTCAGGGTACACATGCCCTGAGGCTGAGGTAACATAGATCCCCTGACTGAGCACAGATCCTGTCCTAGCTGAGCGGTTCTGAGCAATCCAGTTCCTTTCAAGGCAAAGACAAAGAGGAGATTTAGGTGGTTTGTGTGAAATTGCCCTGCATGGGAGAAACTGGCAAAGAGCAGCAGTGTGCCTGGCACACATTTATAGATAGATAGAAGGTAGATGAAGGTCAGTGTCTTTGCAGGCGCACTGGGACTGAGTTCGGGACTAAAAGGAACTTATCCCAACTACATGCAATTAGACTGCACTGACCTCTTGCAAAACTGCATTCAGTTCATATTCTAGAGTGATCACCATCATGGTGGGAACCCTGTGAGCCTTTGGGAACACAGTACCAGTGTACACTCACTCATTTCCTTTTCTCCTTCTGCCTTTATTCTGCTTGTTCAGTTTTACTCCTGACTGCAAGGTTTCCAGATCAAGAACGATGGTGGTGTATGATGGTTCCCAGTTAGCTGAAAGTACATTCACACTGCCAAATAGTCTACCTCCTGAACTCTTTCCTGGATCCTGGAACCTTGCTCATCCACACTGTATATCCATTAATCGCTCAAGATGTGCCTGTGCTTTGGATCAGCAGGGCACATTTGAAGCAAATCTCCTAGTTGTCCCTGCTTACTGTGCTTTGGTCAGTGCTTTGGTGTGAGTTATGGCATAGTCTTGAACAGTGTGGATTCTTTCCAAATTAAGTTAAAAATGTGGTCCAGGCCACATTCTGTCCAGGGGAAAAAAGTAAAGCTTTTCTGAAGGAAACCAGCTCCTATTGCACAATGGATACAGTACGGATATCTTTCTCAGCTTCAAAAATTTCACTCTACAGACACATTTCTGTTGGTCTACATGAGTTGATAATTTAGATATAGCCCAAATTAATTTTTTTTTTCCCTGAAATGGAGGCCAAATGTTTCTAAGAATAAATCGCTTTAGAATGACTCCTAATAAGCAGCATGGGCAAGGCACAGCCTGACTGTTCTGCTATTTGCAGTCACCCAACACTGCACTAGGAGGCCTTATGGTCTTCAGTCCTTCCACATGCCATCATACCACAGTAGAGATCATGCAATACGTAGCCTTAGTCTGAAGTTATAAAAACATAATTCTAATGAGTTACAGTATGTATTTTGTATATATAATTTTTCTATGAACTGAGAAAAAAATATAGGAAAGCAATAAGTATGTTGCAGCCCCAGAGGTGAATCATGTGGATTGCAGAGGAGACCTGTGCCAACACAAGCACCAGTTTTCTTTAGAAACTAGTCCTGAGTAATGTGAATGTGAGTCACTTCACACCATTTGTCCTAGAGATCAGTCCTCTGTTTAGCTATATTACCTGTGATTATTTTCTTTTGTGGTTTTTGTTAATTTTTTTCCTTAAAATTGTGCAACTTTTCCTGTAATAAAGCAAAGCAAAATATTAATGTTCAGTGAATTATCTAGTCTCAGAAGATGAAGTCTTGAAATCCATGGAACTGCTACTGATGGTTTTATAAATGCTTTTCCCGACATAGGGAAAAAATTCCCATTTTCTCAAGATGAGATTTTAGTTTCTGAAAATATCTCTGCATTCTTAAGTGACTGAATAAGAAACGAGCTCCTTTTGTAAACATTTTGTAAAAGTTGCACTTGAATTGACATTTTACAAAGTTCCCTCCTGACCTAGTATTAGGTGTTGCTTAAATAACCTAATGCTCTAATATACATGTGTGATTATTGTTGTTCTTTCTAAACAGTGGGGATATTTAATCCAGTGGAAAATGTAATAGAATAAATTGTAAGATTAAAAAAAAAATCATTATCTGTGTGGACCATGAGTCTATGAAGTCTTTGATTTTTATCTCTGTCTCTCTTCTGATTTCAGGTTATCACTACAACGACCTTGTATCCCCACAGTACTTGAATCTGATAGCTAATCTCTCAGGCTGTACAGCCCATCGACGAGTGAACAACTGCTCAGATATGTGCTTCCACCAGAAGTACAGGACACATGATGGAACATGCAACAACCTTCAGCACCCTATGTGGGGTGCTTCTCTGACAGCATTTGAGCGTCTCTTAAAGTCAGTCTATGAAAATGGGTTTAATTTGCCTCGGGGAATTGAACCCAAGAGACTCTCTAATGGCTACGCACTCCCAATGCCTCGCTTGGTTTCAACTACTCTGATCGGAACGGAAACAATAACTCCTGATGACCAGTACACTCACATGCTCATGCAGTGGGGTCAGTTTCTCGACCATGACCTTGACCTCACTGTGGCTGCCCTAAGTGAAGCCAGGTTTTCGGATGGTCAGCATTGCAGTTCAGTTTGTACAAATGATCCTCCATGCTTTTCGATCATGATACCACCAAATGATCCCAGAGTTCGAAATGGTGCACGCTGCATGTTTTTTGTACGCTCCAGTCCAGTTTGTGGAAGCGGCATGACATCTCTTCTGATGAATTCTGTGTACCCACGAGAACAGATCAACCAGCTGACTTCATACATTGATGCGTCCAATGTATATGGCAGTTCGGACCGTGAAGCACTAGAAATCAGAGACTTGGCGAGTCAAAGGGGTCTTCTGAGACAAGGCATTGTACAGAGATCTGGCAAGCCTCTTCTTCCATTTGCTACTGGCCCACCTACAGAATGTATGAGAGATGAAAATGAGAGCCCGATTCCCTGCTTTTTAGCTGGTGATCAGCGTTCTAATGAACAGCTGGGTCTTACCAGCATCCACACATTGTGGTTTAGAGAACACAACAGAATTGCCACAGAGCTACTGAAACTCAATCCACACTGGGATGGTGACACGATATATCACGAAACACGCAAAATTGTTGGTGCAGAAATGCAACACATAACATTTAGCCACTGGCTACCTAAGATCTTTGGAGAGGTAGGCATGAAGATGCTTGGCGAGTATAAGGGTTATGATCCCAGTGTTAATTCTGGCATAACTAATGAGTTTGCAACTGCCGCTTTTAGGTTTGGTCACACACTCATTAATCCTTTTCTGTATCGACTGGATGAAAACTTTGAACCTATTCCACAAGGCCATCTACCTCTTCATAAGGCATTCTTCTCTCCATTTCGGATTGTAAATGAAGGAGGCATTGATCCACTTCTAAGGGGATTGTTTGGTGTTGCTGGTAAGATGCGTGTCCCATCACAATTACTCAATACAGAATTAACAGAAAGACTCTTCTCCATGGCACGTACTGTGGCTTTAGATCTGGCAGCTATGAATATTCAGAGAGGCAGAGATCATGGAATTCCTCCCTACCATGATTTTAGAGTTTACTGTAATCTTTCTTCAGCTCAGACTTTTGAAGATCTGAAAAATGAAATTAAGAATCCTGAAATCAGGGAGAAACTCAGAAGGTGAGCCTGAGGTGAAGAAAAACAATCAGTTATCTGAATGTGCATGCAAACTTAGTAGCTAAATGTCTTATCTAGAAGAAAATATTTGTTAACAAATGGTTAAAGGGATTTTTAAAGAAAATTCCATCAATACCAGGAAATAGATATGGAAAATTCCCACATGCAGATAATTTCTCCACTTCTACATCTCTGTGAACAATAAGTAGTTAATATATAGTGTGTGTCTTCATTAAAGTATTACTTTGAAGTATCTGGTTTATAAATGCTTATAAATACGAATATTATTTCAGTGTAAGATCTTATTTAATGCAAATCTCATGCAAGTATTTACAAGTTCAGTTCCATCCATTTTGTACACTGAAATGAGAATATCGTTCATTTTATTTTCGTGTGGACATTCTTCTCTACCAGTAATCTGCTCTTATTTAGTGCACCAGTGTTTGAAAATAAGTCTTCAGCTACCTGCCACCCCTAGCATATCTACGCAAAATCATATGGAGAATTAATGACAAGTATAGTAAAAGAAAAAGTCTACAGAAGGACAGGGAAGAGAAGCTATTGAAAAATAAATGATTCTAAGAAATCAGAAGAAAACTACTAGGAGAAAGGAAATTGTGGGGTAGACTTGTGGACTCCCGTGATGTTACATATACAACCTACATTGAAGGATTTATTGCATGTACACCCTCATGTTTACAAAAGATGTAGCTATATCACTGTCTTTCTTACTGTGAGCTGTTTATAACTGTTGCCCTTAGTTTTGCCACATACTGGTTATTTTGTAAATGTAAAATATTTGATATTAAATATTTGTGTTTTTCTATTTATAGGTTGTATGGTTCCCCACTGAACATAGACCTATTTCCTGCTCTAATGGTGGAAGACTTAATTCCAGGGAGCCGACTGGGGCCAACTTTGATGTGTCTGTTAAGCACACAATTTAGGCGTATCCGGGATGGGGACAGGTAAATTGAAATACCATAGAAACCAAAAGTAATTTTAAATTGAGGATACTTAATACTAGTTGCAATATCTTGCTTCCAAATCCAACTGCATTTTATTTTCATTTATGATTTTAAAATATAATAGAAAAGATGAAGAATACAGGTTTAAAACTTTTTTAGAAGATACAATTTATTTTTAAAATCTGTTACTTTTTATGATGAATAGGTCATACTGACCTCCAAAAACCACCACAGACAACACATGCTGGATTTCCTTTTACCAGATATTCAAGTCACTTACCATTCTGAAAAGTGACTGTTACTCATCTCTTTTCATTGGTACTTAGTTATTTTTTTGGCAAAGGAGTTGTGGTGGTTGAGACTTCTTCACCATCTGCATTACTTAAGCATAGGTTGTAAAAGTACCACTCTGTGTATACAACCCCTATACATATTTCAGTACAAGTAGTCTGCGTGCCAGAAGAGTGATAAAAGCAAACAGGTTAACACAGAATCACAGAATGGCTTGGGTTGGAAGGGACCTTAAAGGTCATTCAGGTGAAACCCCCTGCCATGGGCCGGGACACCTCCCACTAGACCAGGTTGCTCAAAGCCCTGTCCAACCTGGCCATGAATACTTCCAGGGATTATCAGAAATAACACAATCTGATAATTGTTCTTAAATTACTTTACATGCATATTATGTGCAATTTTTCATGCAGTATGAGCTCCAGATTGCTGGTGACAAGTGCCTATTTGTGTCACAACAGGATAATGATACTGCTTTTTGTGTGTGTCTGTTTGCATTTTTCCAGCAAAAGCTTTTTTTTTTCTTTTTTTTCCTCTGAAGCAGCATTTAGAAACTACAGGAAAACATTGAATATTTAGGAAATGTGAGTCTGCTGTCCAGAGAATACAAATGTTTTGAAGCAACATGCCAGCAAGTAGTAAAATATTATTAGACATAATGAAAGCAACTCTCACTTCTTTGAAAAGCCTTTACAATGGGCAGAGGATCAAAGCTGCCAGCACCATGCAAAACAAATGTGCCTGTGCAGGGAAAAAGAGTGATGTTTGAAGGGAGCCTAACTTCATGTCAAGATGGAAATTTCAGAATCTGTTTTTCTGATCTGAGTACTTGGAAATTCATTGGCTACTGTCCAATGCCATATGAAAATTATAGGATAACTAGTTAAAATGAAATGTATTGACCATTCTTTTTAGTTTAGTGTAAAATTGTTACTGCTTTTTCATAAAGTTTAAAGAGCCTCCTACTTATTTTTGGTTGAAATAGGTGGAAAAAAGTATCAATATAGAATTATAACTTTAGTGTTTTGTGAAATGTAAACAGAATCACAGTGAGCAATTCTTATATGTTAGAATAGTGTAAAATGTTTTCAAATCCTGGACAATAACTTGAAATGTTTTCTTATACTTGCTTTTCATAGTAATGAATTATTTATATTTTCTATTGATGACAGACTTGTAGGCCCTTATGTATAAAAAATAAAGTATTCGAAACCACGGTGTTTCCTCCTTGAATATTATGAGTTAACTGAATTAGTCCCTTAATTAGTGTAGTCATTAAAATAGTTTTACAGAAAAAAAATTTCTTAGTGAATTAAACAATCTCACTCATTGTGGTAATAAACTGTGTATAGATTAACCGTGCTTCTAATCTCAGCAATTCTATCAAATTTTTTTCATACCCATAGGAAAATTGCCTAGAGAAAGATATCTATGGTAATTTAAACCTCTACCTTAAAAGAACTCTAAACTTGGTAGTCTAGTGCCATTTTAGATGTCCAAAGATACCCAAGACATCAAGATGGGACTAGAAGAGAAGTCAAAGGATTTGTTGAAGACTTAGGGCCTTCCAGAGTATCAGCATGACACCAGGAGGGCCTGAAGTGACTTGAAGGGCTTACATTGTGGCATCTGGATTACTTCTTCAGACACAATGTAAAGTTGAGAACAGGATTTATGGAATAAATAATTTCATTCTGAATACAGTATTGCAGTATCTCTGGAAAAAAGCATATTTTGTTTTTTCACTAGCAAACTTGTCTTTTCTGTGAGATTACAGGTTATGGTATGAGAATCCGGGTGTATTCACACCTGCTCAACTCACTCAGATCAAGCAGACATCTCTTGCCAGAGTTTTGTGTGACAATGGTGACAACATAACCAGGGTACAACATGATGTCTTTAAGGTGGCTGAATTCCCACATGGATATAGTAACTGTGAAGATATTCCTAAACTGGACCTCAGGATGTGGCAAGATTGCTGTGAAGGTCTGTATACAGATGGATTTGGGTGTATTAATGTGCATGCTATTTACTGTCCGTCCATTTTATTTTAAGAAGATACTTGACTGTTCAGTTTTTTTAAGATGTTACAAACTCATATCTGGAGCACAATGCTTTTTAATTGAATGATTATTCCATATTTTATATTAAATATACACATTTTAAACATAGTATAGATTTGAGCATTCCATGGTGTAGATAACTGTTTTCCTGTTTTCTTCCTTTTTTGGACAAATATTCTTGTTCATTGCCATCTCCTTCAAAAGTTAGGACAGTGAAGTGATTTGCTTTTCTTCAGATATAAACTTTATTTTTTTCCCTCTAGAAACAGAGTTTACTTAGTTGCATGAAACACAGGTCACACTTGGTAGCCTGTGTGTTGGCTTCTGTCTCACATAAGGGTTTTCTGTATGGCCTCTCCTTAGCCATCGTCATATCAGGCTTCACTGCATCTGTAACACAGTTAGAAGATCCCTTCCCAAGAGAATTTTCTGGATCACACAGATCTGCAGAATTATTTGCAGTAGCATAGACAACAAAATACTTCAGAGGACAATGACCCCTCTTTATTGAAACCTTCATGCCAGTGTTATAATTTTCTCTTGACAAAACTTGAATGACATGCCCTGGCTGAAAAAGTATATTCAGGAATTTTGGGAACTTCTCCAGAAATTGCTGTCAAACAAACTACTAACTGTAAAAAACTTGCTTTTATTAGAGAAGATAATGGTAGTGTCAGTTGAAGATTATTAGAATCTTATGATTTACCTAGTAAGAACATAGCTTTCCATAGCAATATATCTTGTAGATTTGCTGATGAAAGGTATCCGGATCTGAGTTCTTCATGTTTTCTACTGCTGATGAACTAGTGAATTGTATTTTTGAAAGAGGTCACATTCTTCCACTAGTGTCCATTTAATTCCTTTGGTAAGATATAATTGTCCCCAATTACAGAGTGCTTTGGTTTATATAGCTTAGAATTTAAGGCAGTAGGTTAAGGGTAAACTGATGGAGGTACCTGGTACAGTAAATACTAAGGAAGGATTCTGACTACTGTGACTTTACCGTGAGAACAAATTCAGGCGTCACTAAAAATGAATAAAGGTAGATAGAGATTTACCGTTCAAAGATATTGCACAATTTAGTTTTTAAACAGACTGCTATATTGTCTTTTCCAGTAAACAGCCCTTTAAATAATAAATCACTGTTAAGAAGATTCTTCTTAGGCAGTGATTTATTATTATCTTCTGGTTGATACTCAAGGACCGTCTCCTTCGAGTCCAAGAACAGTGCATCCTTAGAAGTAGGAAGGCAGACAAGAATGCCAGGCGGCCTGTGTGGATGAACAAGGAGGCCCTGTAATTACTTGGGCACAAAAGGAAAGTTTATGGGGAGTGGAAGCAAGGACAGGTTAGCTGAGAGGATTATAAAGTAGTTGCCCAAATGGCCAGAGATCAGGTTGGAAAAGCTAGAGCACAGGTGGAATTAGATCTAGCCAGGGACATAAAAGGAAACAGGAAGACTTTCTATAGGTACATCAGTGATAGAAGGAGGGCTAGGGATGAAGTGAGCCCTCTCCAGAAGGAAGATGGAGAACTGGTCACAAGGGACACGGAGAAGGCTGAGGTGCTGACTGACATATTTGCCTCAGTCTTCACTGGCAAGGGCTCTAGCTGGGCTACACAAGTCACAGAAGGCAAAGGTAGGGATTGGAAGAAGGAAGTTTCACCCACTGTAAGCGAAGACCAGGTTCTAGACCACTTAAAGAAACTGAAGGTGCACAGGTCCATGGGACCCGATGACATCCATCCGTGGGTCCTGAGAGAACTGGCGGATGAAGTTGCCAAACTGCTATCCATCTAATTTGAAAGGCTGTGACAGTCTGGTGAAGTTCCTGATGACTGGAAATGAGGACACATAACCCCTATTTTCAAAAAGGAGAAAAAGGAAGACCCAGGAAACTATTGGCCAGTCAGTCTCACTTCTGTGCCTGGCAAGATCATGAACAGAAGGCTCTCCTAAGGCACAGGAGGAATGAGGATGTAGTGATTGGTGGTAATCAACACAGCTTAACCAAAGGCAAATTGTGCCTCACCAATTTGGTGACCTTTTATGATGAAGTTACAGCTTTGGTGGATAAGGGAAGAGCAACTGGAGTCATCTACCTGGTCTTGTGCAAAGCATTCGACACTGTCCCGCATGACGTACTGATCATGAAACTGGAGAAATGTGGATTTGATGGATGGAACACTCGCTGCATAAGGTTTTGGCAAGATGGCCGCACTCAGAGAGTTGCTCAATGTCCAAATAGAGACGAGTGACGAGTGGTGTCCCCCAGCGATTGTTATTGGGATCAGGACTGTTCAGCATCTTTGTCAGTGACATGGACAATGGGATTGAGTGCACTCTCAGCGAGTTTGCGAATGATACCAAGCTGGGTGGTGCAGTTGACACACTGGAAGGAAGGGATTCCATCGAGACGGACCTGGACAGGCCGGAGAGGTGGGCCTGTGCCAACCTCATGAAGTTCAATGAGACCAAGTGCAAGGTCCTGCACCTGGCTAGGGGCAATCCCAAGCACAAATACAGGCTGGGTGGAGAATGGCTTGATAGCAGTCCTGAGGAGAAGGACTTGGGGGTGTCGGTCGATGAAAAGCTCAACATGAGCCAGCAGTGTGCACTTGCAGCACAGAAGGCCAACCACATCCTGGGCTGCATTGTAAGAAGTGTGGCCAGCAGGGTGAGGGAGGGGGTTCTGCCCCTTTGCTCACTCTTGTGAGACCCCACCTGGAGTACTGCGTCCAGTCCTGGTGCCCCCAAAATAAGAAGGACATGGAGCTATTGGAGTGGGTCCAGAGGAGGACCACGAAGATGATCAGAGGGCTGGAGCACCTCCCCTGTGAAGACAGGCTTAAAGAGTGGGGGCTGTTCAGTCTGGAGAAGTAGAGGCTGTGGGGAGACCTTACTGCATCCTTTCAGTTCCTGAAGGGGTCCTACAGGAAAGCTGGGGGACTTTTTACAAGGGCAGGTACCAATAGAATGAGGGATAATGGTTTTAAACTGGAAGAGGGTAGATTTAGACTAGATATTAGCAAGCAATTCTTTATCATATTTCACCAGTTCAGGATAAGTTCATTTTGCCATGGTTCATGGAGCTTGGCAAATGGTTTCACAAATACATTAATAAAATAGATTTGGAAAAATTGTAAAGCTCTCCTGAGAAATTGTGTGTTGATTCTCTAAATGTTATGTTATCACTGAGCCTTCTAGAGTAGGTGTTATCTTTGGAAAGTCTTTAGAGTATTCAGCCATTCAACAGCCTAACTTGTATTTTCATTCAAGAATGTTACTACCAGAGAGTACTACTGGATGCAGTACAGTTAGACAACTGCCAAGCAAAAGGCTAAATAACTAGTGTTCTTTAAAAAAACTGCCTATCTGTATCCCCTTCCTCTGAACTCTTTTGAAGTCTGTGCAGAGGTTAATGAAGAGAAAACAGAGTATGCATGGCTTGAACTGCTTTCTTGTGTGGATGAATGGGTGTGACGTTTTCTGTGGGAATTCAGGTTGAAGAAATTAATTTAAAAAATGTCTTTAATTCTGTGGCACTAGAGACTCACCACTGTTCTGAGGTGAGGGGCATACGCAACATATATTCAGGAACATTTACTTTAAGTGAAATGTATTCTGGTTTTTTGTTTCTTTGAATTTATTATTTAAAAGAAAAAAAATTAAAGCCTTCTCTGTAGTTAAGATACTTCTGATTATTTTATAATTAACATCATCCTAAGTTAAAATTTAGAACACAGTGCACTTTATGTATGTTTAATAAGTGACCCATATGTTCAGTTGTTTCAGTTTGGTTAAAAAACACATCTGTTCTTGTTAGCCTTCCTGTTTTATTCAAGTCAAAATACTTTTCCATATTAAGAATGGAGCAAAGTCTAGCTGGAGGCCAGTCACAAGTGGTGTTCCCCAGGGCTCAGTGCTGGGTCCAGTCCTGTTCAATCTCTTCATAAATGACCTTGATGAGGGGATTGAATGTACCCTCAGCAAGTTCGCAGATGACACCAAGCTGGGGGGAAGTGTTGATCTGCTAGAAGGCAGGGAAGCCCTCCAAAGAGATTTGGACAGGCTGAACCGATGGGCTGAGACATCCAAACAAGAAACTTTTGGTGCTTTTTTCAGGCTCTCTAGGGAAAAAAAAAACAACCCTTTTTTTTTTTAAGTCCTCGATGTACGCTTCCATGATTACTTTTACTGACTTCATATGTCAATTCTGACCCCTAAACAAAGAAACAATAAGACTCATTTCCTTCAAATATAAGCATACTGTTATGGTTATGCCAACAGTTTTTGTGAGATGGATTATGTAAGAAAAAAAAAAGACTAGAAATTAGGTGCAAAGACATACTAGCTCAAATGGAAAGATGTTTTTACTCCAAATGTGTGAATTTAAAATATTTTCCGTTGTGAGTCTTTAAAAGTTTCACACTTTTTTTTTTTGTAAATAAAAATGAAAAATTTCTTTAGCCTTTTGTTTTTTGTCAAACAATGACCCAGGAGGAAGTGACTCAGACAAGATGCAAGTCATCCACGTAAGTGTATACTGATTTAGGAAAATGTTTTTCCGTAACTTAAACATAGTTTTCAGTTAGAAAGTAACATATCTCCTGTATCAGATATTGTTCTTTTTTTTTTTTTTGATTCAGGAAAATGGTTTTATATAACTTACAATTAAACCTGTTTGAATCCCACTGAACTATATTAGAAGAGTTAAGAAACATTCTTAATCTGTGTACATTTCTACATGGTCTTCCAGTAGAATAGACCTTTATTTACGAATTCCTACATGTTTAAGAGCAGGCCAAAAATTATGCTATCTGTTACTTCTGTACTTCTTCCAGAAAGCAATTTACTTTTTTTTTTTAATTATTGTGCTTTATTCCAAGTTTAAAATTTGTCTGGCTTTTACTTCTAGTATTATATATGCACATCTCATTATGCCCTTTCATCTTCGGTGAAAATACTAAGCAACACTGGGCTGAAAGCTAAATGCTGTGAAGAACTAACGTTTAAAAATGTTAACAGCAGTCTCAGTGTGAGACTGCAAGATCATTTGTGACAACGGAAATTGTTTACCAAGAACTCTTCAAAATTCTAAAATGATGCAATTTATGCCTGAACATGTTGGGTTTTTTATAAACCGATCTTGTGGTTTGCTTCTGTTATGTCTTTTTTTTTTTTTTGCTTTCTACATTCAAATGTATTCTTTTACATTTAAGTTTACTTTTAAAGGCAGTGTCTATTAGCTTAACAAAAATTCAGACTATGCCAGGCTAATAAAATAAAGTTCCATGATCTGTAATTTTAAGGATTACATACTTTTTTCTTTGAATAGAAGTACATTTAATATAGTCCAGCATTTCTGTATGGCGACAAATTTTATTGAGAGGAACAGTATTTTTATTTATACTTCATCCAAACCAATATATTTTATATTTTTTTTCATGGATCCACGGTCAGTAAAATACAGTTGTAATTCACAAATGTAAGATAAGGAGACTTAATCGATGATGTTGCTTTGTCTTCACTACCAGAGGTCTCATCCTAGTAGTTGCTATCCCTAGTGGGAAGCGGCAGGGAAGCAGCAGGCTGGCATTCACTGTGTTTAAACCCAAACTCTTGAATGAGTCCCCAGACCTATGATCCCAGCCTGTCAAAGTCCTGCTGCAGGCAGTAGAGAAAGAAATGTCTCTAGAGACAATTCAGGCTGCAATCTCTTCCTGAGTCAATGTCCACTGACTGTAAAAGAAACATGGGTAGGAAAGCATCCCAAATGGAGATGTCGCGGTGATTTGTGCAGAACAAGGTGGTTGGAGGTTTTCCTTTTTCTCTGTTGACTGTTACTGCCTTTCTAAGACATTGATGTCTTCACAATCTAATGGACAGGCTACTTTTTAGTGTCCTTACTTTTCAGATTTCCAAATCTCTGTGGATTTATAGTCTGTCTGAAATTATTTTTATTCAATCATCATGATTATCAATGGTCATGAATATCAATGATTCAATGATATTTATATTAAGAAGGATACACGTTTTTGATCTGCAAAACTTTCTGACTAGTCTTGTTTAATTTTTCTGCTTGGGAGATTGGATTTGCTTTGGTTTGGTGACAAGAACTTAATGGTTCTCTGTTGACTTCCTGCAGGCCATCCAAAACCTGTTCAGATCCTGAAGACATGATATATTTTTAAATGTCTTTAGGCTATCATTAGCCATATATTATAACTTTATATAGTCATGTTCTGTAAATTATCTGGATATTTGCTTTCCCAACAATGTCTGGGCCTTCTAGTTTTGGTAGCATCAGCCTGTGAGCTTTGAGGTCAACTACAGAGAACATAATTATTATTAGAATTCCCAAGTATGCCAGCTGGGAGATGACAATGTGTGTTTTCACTTCATCTTCTCCCTTCTGTGCCATTATTTTTGTCCAGATGTTTAAATAATGTTTATGGAGAATGAATCTGTTCCAATCTGAGCAGGCTACTGTTGGATTTTAGACCAACGTATTACATTATTTCCTGCTATTTAATTTATTATTTATTAGAAATTTTAATTCAACGGAAGAAATTAAGATGTGCAGTGTAAGGTGAAGGGATGTGGCCTAACTAGCAGTAACAGAAACAGCTATTTTGAGTTAGGAATTCATTTGGGGGGAAAAATCTTTTTCCTGTGTTGTGCATTTTCAAGTAGCTTTGTCAAAACATCTACTCAAATAATCTTTTGACATTTCAGACAGTTTCAATATTTCTCCTCCCTTTTACTGCTCCCACTGGCACTACTAGGAGTTCTTAGAAAACATACAGATGCTTACAGTAACAGCAACTTAGTTGACTACATTAAATCTCAGAAAACTGAAGTATAATAAAATAGAAGCAATAGTTACATTGTATGTGCCTTTCTTCACATTTCCTTATTCTCTCAAGTTGTTTTAGCTTAATCTACAGTTAGATTAATTCTCTTTAACCTAGATTTGGAGAGGATTGACTGGGCATTAATAATGCTCATTACCTCTAAGTGTCAGAGTGTAAATCTAATTTACATTGTAGGTGCATATTTAAAACCTTATGAGAAATAAGGCATTTTTTTGAAGATGTGACCACGGCTTCCATATACAAATGGATTATCTTGACACTTGCAGCACAAAAATACCTAGCTTCTGGAAGAAAACATTGTATATAGAGAAAAAGAATTATTAGATTACTCTTACTGGGTTTGTGCAGAAAATGAATTGGACTGGGAAAATTTGGGGAAATTTTAGGTAGGTAGAAAAATAGAGGTTTAGGCTGATCTTTCTCATTTACCACTACTGCTAAGATATTCTTCATTTTAAAAAAAAAAAAAAAGAACTATGTAAACTTCTTCGGTTATATTTTCTGAAAGCTAGAGCATTCGGCTGTCCTGCACCTCGCAGCAGCGACAATCCTCTTCCTCATACCTGAAACAGAAACTAAGAACAAGAGCTGTTAGTTTGGCAAGTTGGTATATTTGAGTCTTTGAAAACTACAGAAATGACAGGTCTGTGTACTTGAAGTTGCCACTGAACATATTTAACAGTCTAATGTTATAAAACCTTCCCAGGACTTTAGACCTTTGTTTCTAAAAACCTGCTTAGGAATAAAAAAGAAACGGGCCATTGTGTTATTGTACAAAAAAATAAAACAAAATCTATATTGTGAGAGATTATCTTAGCAGTTATAAAACAAAGGATAGCAGAAACCTTTCACAAATTGCTTCCAAGAGAAACTAAGATTTCTATGACACTCAGGGAAAACTTTAAGCAACAGATTATTTTAAGAAAAAAGTCATTCAGACCAAAACTAATTCTTACTCCAGTGGCCCATCAGAGTGTGACCCCTTTTCTCACCATACTAAATATAGAATTGTCTAAGGGTGATCAAAAATGCGTTCATGCCAAGCATCTTACAGACACAGCAGTCTGTTCCTGCCTGAAAGAGCGTTGTTTATGAGTGGGCAGCAAGCAGATTGCGTGAGAAACAGCAGAACACAAGAAGACTGAACAATATGTTGGCAGTTAATATCCATCTAGTTCTTTGGTGGAGCTGTTATTATAGGAGGAAGGTAATAAATTTACTTAAGAATGGGACTAGTTGCAAGGAAAGAAAAGGGAAGGAGAATGGCGTGGACAAATTATGTTCAAGAATGATCTGTAGGTATTGGTTTTGAACTGAAAATCAATCAGTACTTTTTTTTTGTCAGTCTTTTTTTTCCTGTCTTAATTGATGTTAAGGCATGGACAAACTAAGTTTTTCCCAACAGGGAAATGGTAATAGTATAATTTAAGTAAAAGTCTAATATAATTAAAAATAGTCCAAGGTACTTATTTTTGTATAAACACAGAACAACCAGTGGTATTATTTGTTCAGTTTATGTGAGACAAGGACTTCATGTTTGTTTCTCAAGTTGCTCAGTTCAAGTGTTTTGAGAAACATTAGAGAAAATTACTTTTCCCCACATGCAGTTGCCTTCATGGCTCATTCTGCTAATACCAGACTTAGCTGGGGTGTGTCTATGGGATTCTGTACTTCTGTTTCCCTTCTGTTTTCTTAGCTGTCTCTGTAACAGTTGAACATGCTGATGGTTCTTGCTGCAGCTTGGCCCATTATAACTTTTTGATTTAAAGCTTTTGATTTAAAGCTTGCTTGTGAACAGCAATGAGAAAACTTCTATTTTCTCATTGCCTCCTCTCCAAAGTGCTTTTCCAGTTTTTCTTTTCTGTTTTAAGTGGGACACATTCCAAATACTCTCTGTGTTTGGAAGTCTAAATAAAGTGGACTGAAGGAAAGACATACTTCATCCTGTGAAGATGTCCTCTTAAGATCTTAGAAAAAGATTTCTGTCATCATTATTCTCAGGCTTGAGATTTTCACTTTATGTTGAGGTCTTAGAGTCTGACTGCTGATACCTTCAAATCCCTCAAATATGGAAGTAGGGCTGGACAGCCAATGAAGTGTGTCTGCAAATGATCTCCAGGATCTAATTAAAGATTCTCTTTCAAATGCCAAAAATAACAAATAATGATGCCTGGAATAGATAAGGAAGCAACAGGCTGGTTTTTTCTATCATTGTTTTTCTTCCATATGTAACTACTCCATTCCAAAAGCAGAAAATAATTAAAAGCCAAGAGAGTGGAAATTTCACAAGTAAAAAGAATAAAGTAAAACCGATATATTTGTAAAAATAACCATTATTCCTGTGTTTCATACTAAAAAGCTGGTCTGTGCATAATAAAATTCTCTGCATCCATCTGGCTTAAATATTGTATCACTGAGACATGTCTGACTGCCATCACACTGATTCCACAGAGACCAGACTGAATGTATTAATTGCCTTTGACAACTCAGAAAATAGTGTAAAACTATATTAATTTTATAACTGCTGAACTATACTGTAGTTTATAACGTGTAATTTCTTGCCTAATTTCAGACTGTAGAACTAGAGGGCAGTTTAATGCGTTTTCATATCATTTTCGGGGAAGACGTTCTCTTGACTACAGCTTTCAGGAGGACAAGCCCTTGAAGAAAATGAAAATATCCAAAACAGTAAGGTGAGGATTTTTGTTAAAAAAACAAGTATGAAAAAATGTTTGTTTTAAAAATTAAATGAAACTGAATGGTTTCTTTGTAAGTGCGTACCATTTTTTCCCAGTGTCTATTTTCTCAAGTTTATGATTGATGTATTTAATTCTCACACTTCTGCATATCTGCTAACAGTAAACCACTTTTTTTTTCCAAGCTCAATTTGTGTAAAACACTTTGTGAATGACACAGTATAGTGCTTTCATTCTTCCTGTGCTTTTCATGAAAAAACTTAGTAAGGAAGCATGATTTAGGGGACTTGGAATCCCATATTCCTACTGTGCCTGCAGTAACCAAACTAAATTATTTCCTTTCCTCCTTGGAGCTGCTAGGTCCTTCTGTAGAAATAGAAGGAAACCAAGTGTGATAACACTAGCATAATAATTTGTGATAATGGTAGGGGATTGCTTCTATTGTATTACTGAAATACTTAGAGCAGCAGTGGAGAACAGGACTGCAACAGAAAATGTCTTTTAAAACTCCCTAATCCTCAAAGTACTCTAGCAAGGAAGTAATTCACAATGTCTGTCACAAATTATCAACTGTACAGGGTCCCTGCAATTTCCAGGGAATTAAAACTTATCTATGAATAAGTGAAATGAAATGAGTTCTACTTAGACCAAACATTTCTTGTGAGGATCCTTCATAATGAGCTATTTTGAGACTCTTTTGAATTGTAGCTCTTTCCATATAGCATGTGTTCTTTTAGCAAATAAAATTATCTAATTGACTGAAACAACCAGGCAGTCTGCCCATTCTGGCAAGGAAAGCAGCTAGACAGATATGTAGACAGGTAAATTTAGTTCAGCAGTTTCAAATACTCATTCAAATGTTATAGCACGGAAGAAGCACCACCATTATATTTCACGTAATTGATAGGAAGCTGTCCTGAAGTAATCGAGCCTTCAGGTGTTTAGGATTTTAGTCAGGAGAAGACAGCAGCTAAGTGTAATCTAATTTAATATGCAATAGGAAAAGGAAGGTTCCTGTGAAGTAATCATTGAAGAAGGATCTTTCATCTGTCTTTGCAAGTGAACTGTTAAAGTTTTAAATTTGCCAAAGAGCAATTAGCTTTTTAAAGATGCTAGTCTCATAATTCTAAAACTGTAGAAGGGTTAAATTAAAAATGAAAGCAAAGAAAGATAAATGCTTGTGTCTAAGAAGGAGCTTGTTTTTGCTAACTTCCTGTTTAACTGTGTTTCAGAAATGAAGCTAAAAATTCTGCAACAGTCCAATTACTAATTAGGATTACAAAATAATAAATCTGCGATACTTTATTTATAGAATAAAGAAAGCTAAAGCAACCTCAGTTCTTTAACATTCTCATCAGTTCTCATGCTCGTATTTAAATTGCATTTGTGGTGAGAAGATTTTTTTCTCCTTTCCTTTTTTTTCTTCTCATTTTCAATAACTCCAGCAGGTGGGGAAGATTAAGCTTTTTGTTATAGAGTCACAGCTGGTTTACTTGAATTTTGGCATGTTACATTGTTTAGAGTTCTTTTTCTTTAATTTAGATGAAAAACTATGGGAAACTAAGTGGCTTGAACACCTGCCAATAAGTGCTGTTTTAATTTATGCAGAAAGACTATAAATCATGAGCCCTATTATATGAGAGAGGATTTCTTTGCCAGTTCGTTCTTTGGGTATCCCTTAGCTCTGGAAATGACACGCTAACAAAATAGGAATGCTTGTGTGGCTTCAAGGATCTTAATGTAACAAGTGACTTAATGATTAGCGTTATCCTTGTTTTGGAATACATGTTTTCTTAAGTGGTGCCAAATAATATATTAGCTATTGACAGTTCCTTTGATAACGGTTTCCCATCAACAGATTGAATCGATTAACATACTTTAGTGTTCTACATCTCCTATTGGGTATCAGCTGGAAAGTGCTATAGACAAAAGAGGCTGGATTTTGTGTCCGACAATCAGTATTGATTTCAAATGTTCATTAAAATGGGACACAGGAATATGTTCATATCTAAAAGTACTCCTTGTTTACTTATGAAAACCAACTTTTTCATTTCAAAGTGATATTTCTTTAAAGACATGCTTTCCTAATGAGTTTGTAGAGGCAGAAACTATGAATCTGAATGCTAAATGTGAATTTCATGTTTGGAAGTAACACTTTTTAAGATTCTCTCACTGTTGTCTGCTTTCATATTGGACGCTCAAGAAATTTCCCAGTGAATTTAAGATGATGCTCTTTAGTGTCACTGATGACAAGTTTGTGTGTTCCCCTGCATGAAATACATACATTATTTTTCTTAGTAGAAGAAATTCCCTGTTGCTAGTGATACTATCAGTAATCCACAGCTCACCTGGCCTGAGTCACCCATGGCTCTCATGTGCTGTTGTGGTTCATACAGTTCCTACATTTCTTGGTTACTCTTTTAAATTTTTGCTAAGTGTTCTAAAATATCTAACCAAATGAAAATGAGTTAAGTGAATATCCTGACTTGACATTCATTTTTTGCAGTTTTGCGAAACAGAGTAAATATTTTCGTAATGCCACATCAGCATCTAATGAAAATACAAACATGCCTGCAGTGAATGACTTCAAAGAATTTGTTTTGGAAATGCAAAGAACTATTTCAAGCCTCAGAAACCAGGTAAGGTGCTATAATGGATAGTCTCTAATTAGAGATTTAATTTATAATGTTTTCCTGGCTGACTGGGGAAGTGCCACTTGAC